AACATCGACAAGGGGGACAAAATAAAACGAAACACTGAAATCGAAATGTATCTTGCTGCATTGTCGAGTACCCTTCTAGTATATATATTAAATTTATATAAAAATCTATAAATGTAATTATATTTTATAAATTAAAAGAAAATGGAAAATGGGTTTTTATAATAACCTATATTGTGGAGTTCTACCAAGGATTTTATTTTGTCGAAGTGATGATGATGTAACAGAAAAAAATATAACAAATGAGATTTTTAAAAGTTCCATTACTATAAATATTTTGATTGGTTTGAGTTTGACTCCAAAGGTCAAAAGTATCAGAAGGTCATAGGTTTAAATCAAAGGAGAAATAAAAATCCCCTTGTGGCCACGGAGGTTCAAATACGGTGACTCCGGACTATCTGCAAAGCAGGTGGTCGTCCTGGAACTAGTCGGCTCGCATAGCATATTGGATATCCAAATTAATAAAAAAAAAAAAATTTCTTATACGAAAACACTTCTAGTTTATTTATCACTTCCTTCAGAAAATATCTTAACAAATAAACAGTGGATATATGTCTTTCATTGAACGTGATCTTATCACATAGCTTTTTTTTCGGGAACTTGACAAAAATAACTCTATAAATTTTAAAAATTATATTTTTAACTTTCATGATGTGACTCGAAGCACAATTTTGCGAAGAAATTGCCCGCTTGTTTCTCAATAGCAATAAGCGTTGTTTGAAGAGACTCATATACAGAACGTCGAGAGCGCGCCTCTAATAATTGTGTTGTTGTGCCTGGGCTGTGAGGACTCTCACTTGACCACCCTCATGATCACCCTTACGCACTGGCTGGTGCGCGGTGCGTAAGGGCCCAACCTGGATCCAATATTATTTTTTTATTTTTTTTGCTCCTTCTAAATACAACACTATTCAATTTTGTTTTTTTTCCTCCTCAACCCCACTATATAAAGAATTCAAATTTTCTATTACCAACACAAAACCAACACTTTTATCTTCATTACCGAAATTTAATCGTCTATATCATGGTTAAATGCATCATACCTATCTATATCGATTTTCAATGTATAATTTAAAATGATTTTGACCTAAAGAGGTGCATATATCAACACCCTATATATCTTTTAAATAACATATTTACGGATATATTGTTTGAAAAATGTATATTTTAGTAGATACTGGTATCATGACGCTAACACATCATAAGTAAAATTTGACGTGTTTTTTAAAGTACATCTCAAAATCGACATTTCTAACCACAAGGGTGGTGTCTGACTGGTTTGAACTTGACTCCAAAGGTCAAAAGTAGTAGGAGGTTCCAGGTTCAAATCCAAGGAAGAATAAAAATCTCCTTCTGGCCACGGAGGTTCAAATACGGTGACTCCGGACTATTTGCAAAACAGGTGGTCGCTCTGGGATTAGTCGGCTCGCATAGCGAGTTGAATATCCAAGTTAATAAAAAAAAGTCGACATTTCTTAGAAATATTCTTGAAAAATATTTTTTGAAAAAATCAAATCAAACCAAACAAACGATGATAATTAAAAAAAAAAGTAGTAAAGAGAGTAAAGTAGCAGGATCCTTAATTACTAGAAAAAAATATCAGGTTTGTATATATTTAAAAAATATGTTTTTGAAAATAAAAATATAATTGAAGTACGTTTTATAACATGTTTTTGCAGTTTACCTTCAATCAGATAAATTAATATCGTAAGTAAACAAATCTGTAAACATATTTTACCAAAATAAAATTGATTCATTAGACATATACAACGGTAATTAAGATATAATTTATAAGTATTTTATTTTTTTAATTTGATACAATATATTTATTTTTCAATTTTTAACTGTATTTTCCAAATGTTGATCATATATATCTATATATACTAGAAACGTACTCGCGCAATGCAGCGAGATACATCGTGATTTTAATATTTCATTTTATTTTTTATCTCAGTCAATGTTATAATATGGCTTTATGTGATTTTGAGAAAATGATGATGTTTTTATTTTTGAATAAAATATATATTTGAAGACATCATAAAAATTTGACAAAAATATATTGATATTAGTATCAAATTAACTATTTGAAATT